CACAGTCTACTGGCCTTTGGGTATTTTAGAAGTGGTGATGTTGTTGTCAGTACCATCTCTGATATGTTTATGCATCAAGAGGTGAGTTTTAACTAATCTTTGAAGACTAACAAACCATTAGAATCATTTTTCACTTTATATAAACAATTACTGTAATCTGATCATTTTGGACAAAGTGATTGAACAGTAATGTTCTTTTTCACTAATTTTGGACCTATTAAATTGGTAACAGTGTTCCATTGCTATCAATTTGACTCTAGGGGAACTGTTTTGTGTGTGCTAAAGTATCAATTTTATAACTCATTGTGATTTTTTTTTACACTAAGGCAATATTGGTTTGTTTAGTATTTATTATTTTATTTGTTCTATTAGTCTATTGTTTTTGTCATTTTAAAATTTTGCAGGATATGCAGTGTTGCTAGAAGTATGAAGTCTTGAAGAATCTACTATAATGCATCAAGAGGTGAGTTTTAACTAATCTTTGAAGACTAACAAACCATTAGAATCATTGTTCACTTTATATAAATAATTACTGTAATCTGATCATTTTGGATAAAGTGATTGAACAGTAATGTTCTTTTTCACTAATTTTGGACCTATTAAATTGGTTTGTTTAGTATTTATTATTTTATTTGTTGTATTAGTCTATTGTTTTTGTCACTTTAAAAATTTGCAGGATATGCAGTGTTGCTAGAAGTATGAAGTCTTGAAGAATCTGCTATAAAGCAAGGCAGTGGATGTACTCTATCACATTGTATTGTTCTGCCTATTGTATTCACACCAGGTTAAAATACCTATTGTAACCACATGTAAATCCATAGTTTTGGAATTACATGTCTTTAATAAATTTTTTAGGTAATATATGTATCTGTATATTTTATAAATATTAGTCCATCAAATACTTTAATATTATAGACATCCTTAACAACACACTTCATATTTTGAAAAATATATTTTTAAAAACCTGATTCCGTTGAAATGCAAAAGAAATGAACTCAATATTTTTTTTACATGGTAAGAAGGAAAAGTCTTTTTTTTTTTTAAACTACTCATAAAATTACTTTAAAAAAACATGATTGCCTAAAAATGCAAAATAAATGAATTTATTTAATTTTAATGGTAAGAATGTAACGTTTTTTTTTAAATGAATATATCTGGCAGTATAGAATAGAAAGTGATTCACACTGATCTTTTTAGTTTTAAAACAGTTTCAGAAAAATATTACATACTTTAAAAAAAACTTGGTTTTTAAGTGACAGTTATAGACAAATAATTTGAAAAAAAACACATGTATCACTTGCAAACAAATAAAAATCAACTTTGAAAAAATAAAATTCTGAAATTACAAATTACATTTAGGCAATTAGTTTGGCATCACAATACTATTTTCATCATATGCCAAAGGTAAAGATTTGTGAAAATAAAGCTTAAAACTATGGCATCAGAATTATAATTTCATCACTTGCCAAACATGTTGTAGTGAATAGTCCAATGACTACATTTATCAATACTGTCATTGGAATTTATGAATATGGCATTGGAATTTAAATTTCATCATATGCCCAACTACTTGAAAAGAAAATGTTAGTTCAAAGGGGAAAAAATAAAACATTGCAAGTAGTATGCTTTTTTTTTTTTTTTTTTTTTTTTAATAAAGCAAAACAACATTGTTTAATAATCAACCAAAGAGCACACATTGATCATTTCAATGTATGTCTATAAAAACACATCTATCAAGCATAACAGAATTACAACAACAGAAAAAAAAACACTATGAGGCAAATAAAATGTTCAGCAAGAGGAAGCATATCATATTAGACAAAGGCATGCCAATTATGCATTTTAAATTTGTAATTTTACCTCACTCAACTGCTTATTAAAGCTTCCGAATTGCATCTTTCCATTGCTTTTAATTTAGATACAGTAAGGTATAACCCTTGGGTCTGCTTGCCTGCACTGAAATATATATGTATGAGAGATGAGAGATTAAATTATAGAAATTGCATGTTCAAATTTATGTTAAATATATGAAAATATGAAGGATTTAATACCAAACCCTAAGATTATGCAAATTACTTTCTACAAAATCCTAGAGTAAATAAATACAGTATTTACGAAACATTTAGACTAAATTATGAAAACCCTAACTGAAAGGAACCAACACATGAACACAAAGTAGAATCTTATCAGAAAAAAACTATAACCTTGCAAAATGAGATATAAAGTAAGAAAAAAGTTGTTTGAATACAAACATTGATAAAAGTAAAGGAGTAGGCAAACTTAGCTCATGGTATTTCCTTGATTTCATTGCATGTTGATGAACTTGAATTGTAAATCTAAATCTATGCTTCACCCGGTCAAAATCTCTAGCTGGTATTTTCGATCGAGGGTTTGTAGCGTGATTATTATCACGATTAATGATACAAAATTGTGATATAACCTACCAAAATGGAAATTTTAGTGGACGAAATTAGGGTAGAAGCAAGTGTTAGGACATAGTAGATTAGAGATCGAAGAAATTAGGGTAGAAGCAAGGTCAGCGAATGTCTCCTTGCCGGTGTGTCGAGAGAGAAGATGAAGCGTCAGGTAGGTTACGAAACTTCTCGAGTTTGAAAAGGTTATACAGCTACGTTAATGGGTCGGGTTATGGGTCTTGAATTTTAGAGATAATTGGGCCTCAAATAATGTTTAATATCAGAGGTAATAATTTGGGCCTAACAATTTATATAATCAAAATATTAGGCCTGAATATATGTGATTCACAATCTTATTCAACTATTATCATATCTTATATATCTTATATATAATATAATATAATGTTAGGTTTAATTATATAAACATATATTTTACATAATATAAGATTCTGAAATTATTAATTTGTTATTGTAGTTAATGAAGGTACATTTGGTATATATTTGAGTAGCCGTAACAAGTTACAAACAATAAATTTAAATGATTCGAATCATTTTATATTAAGCGGGTTACAAATCATAATATCGACCAGATCGAGCTGTATATTACCAGGTAACTTTCTATACTCATAATTTATTAGGTTTTAAATTTGTTAATTGTGTCATAAATTAAATTAATTATAGTTTATATATTTTTTAAAGTTTTTTTTCCCTTTAAAGTTTATTATTCAAAATTAAGTATAGATGTTGATTTTTATAAATTATCTTTGTTCTTATGTAGATTGTAACGTACCTCTAACCCAATTATAAGGCAAATCTTTTAAGAATATATCAAAGGGTAATGCCTTATAATTATTTTTTTATATTTATACATTTTTTGTAGGAAATTTGATGATTAATGTTAATTTTGTCTTTTTGATTTTTTGAATAGTCAATGGTTTTGGTTCAACTGAATGCAAAAAAAAAAAAAAAAAAAAAAAAAAAAAAAAAAAAAAAAGGCCATATAAGACACAATCCACTGTTCTGTCTAGGGACTTGCTTTCAGCTTTTGAAGAATAATGTATACCGGCAACTATCTAACTATGGTAAATTGTACATAACATTCTCCAGAGTTGACAATTCCAGTGGATTAAAAATGTTGATTTGTTTGAGAAATGTACCATTTTTAAGTACGACTAAAAATATTATGTACAAAGAAATTTTTAATAATATTTAATAAAATTGCAATATTTACCAATGAATTATTATAAGGCATCATAATATAATTTTAATCATCTGCCATCATCTTGAAATAAAAATGTTGGATACTTTATACTCCGTATAAACTTGGAAATAAAACTAATCAATTTTAGTCTAACCAAAGAAAACATGCCCTATAACTAGACAAAATATAATGTATTATACTCTAATAATACATATTTTATTATTAAGTATATCATAGTTTAAATTTACAATTATTGCATTTGAGAAAAAATATTTTGACAATACTAATCTAAGTTTATTTATTTGTATGTCGTATACTTTAACTATCTATACTATATTTTAGTCTCAAGAATTAGTAATCCTAAGGGATTAAAAATAATTACTTGTGACGAAAATGTACAATCTCACAGTACGACTACTAATGTCCTATACAAAGAAGTATTCAATAATGTGTAATAAAATTTTATGTGCTGTGTTTTTGTATTTTTTACAAGTTTTCACCAAATTTTTTTTATTATATAATATTGTATATTCTATATATTCTATATATGACCGTGGTAGATAACATCAATGAATACATGAATGAATATAATACTGCTGAAGGAATGACATATCTCAGTTGTGATTCGGTCTGCAAATCTGATTCCAATGTTGACATGCTTACTGATCTACACACACCGGAGTTTTTAAATGGCTTACGATGTTCTGGAGTGCCAAATCACTCATTGACTTTAAAAGTTGGCTCACCGGCCGGTTATGCTCTTGAGAAATATTGATCACTCATTGGGGTTGTGCAATGATACAAGGATGATCATTTCAAAGTTGGCTATCTCAGTTGTGATTCGGTCAGCAAATCTGATTCCAATGTTGACATGCTTGCTGATCTACCCACACCGGAGTTAATGGTATAATGGTATTAATACCAAGGATGTCCTTAACACCGTCTGATCCAAGATTGCCTTTTAAGTTTCAAAGAAAACAATTTCCGGTAATGTTGTCATATGCCATGACAATAAACAAAAGTCAGGGGCAAACATTGTCAAACGTCGGATTATTTTTGAAGAGGCCGGTTTTTAATAATGGACAAATGTATATAGCAGTGTCAAGGGTTAGTAATCTTAGCAGATTAAAAATTATTATTTGTGACGAAAATATACAATCAAAAAATACAACTACAAATGTCGTATATAAAGAAGTATTCAATAATGTCTAATAAAAGACACAGTTTATGCTATTACTTATAATTATAATGCCATACATTTTACTAATAATATTTATGGCCGTGCATCGCACGGGTGCAAATACTAGTAATAATAATAATAATAATAATAATAATATTATTATTATTATTATTATTATTATTATTATTAGAAATTAAATTCCAAGCCCCAGCCCCCAATGACCTAATCGGCTAATCCCTTTTCTCTACCCTTCTATCGCTTCCCCCAACTCTCGAAGCCGCGTCTCAGCCGACAGCAACTCGAGTCTCCGACGAAGACGACAGTCGACAACTGCCTTCCGACCACAAAGCTGCTGTCGACGACATCGGAAGACTCCGCGTCTCCTCTCTGGTCAACGCCTCCGCCCTTGCCGACGACGAAGCTGCTGCCCGATCTCCGCCTCTGCCCCTGCCGAGGACGAAGCTGCTGCACGTTCTCCGCCTTAGTCTCCCCTGTGAACCAAGGTAGCGCCTCCTTGGAATCTGGATTACTCATTACTGCAATGAAATTCATAGATTTGTGAAATTTATAACGTGTGCTGGTTTGCAATTGATTTATAATTTAGGTTAATGTTTCATGTTAAATTGATATAAACTATGTGTTTTTTTTTTTTTTTTTTTTTTTTTTTGGGTTCAATTACGAGTTCGAACAGTCGAGCTAACGAGCCGAGCTCGAATTGCTCGAAAGTTCACGAGCTTCAAGCTCTAAATTTCGAGCTCGATCTCACCCAGTCTTAGTCGAGTTGAAATGGCTGAAATGGCTTGAGCTCGGTTCGACTTGTTTACACCCCTATTGTTAGTATAGAAAATTGTGAACATACTAACACTACATATTGCATCTATAACAAGATTTAGAATCTATATCATTGAAGGAGCTTTAATTCTTCCTGCAGTCTGCAGATAAATTAATATAGAGTTCCATGTCATATGTGGTTTATTTGACAAAGTTATGAATGGGTTATTTGGCAATTACAAGAATATCTATCGGGTTCTTTATGTGTTTTCCCCCATGTAAATTTAACATTAACTTTAATGTTTTCCCTCTCCCTCTTTGATTAAATATATTTGTTCAAGGAAATAGACAATCTAGGCTAACTCCCTGCCCTACTTAATGTTCTGTTACCATTAGCTCTTTAATTGAATGTTATTATCCTGCAATCTATGCACATAATCAATGTCTTACATTTGCTGCATATAAAATTTCTCATATATGGTAGTGGTTTGATTTATGAGGGGTGGGGGTAGGATATATATTAGTGATGATTGATAAGAATATTTATTATTCCTTCCGTTGTGCATGGATAATTGATAAACAAACTCTTCCCCTCTCCACTTCTGTTTAATTTAATATTGATACTAGTTAGTTTGACTTTATTGTCAGGAGTGCTGTTTGAAATCTAGACCTCAAGACTTGAGGTTGCATCTAGTACAATGGCAAAACATGGAAAAGCTTCAGTTGATGCTAAAGCTCTTACTAAAACGAAAAATATGAGAAGAAGAAAGAAGATATCAAAGGTATTATACTCTGCAACTCTTGTATTTCTGCCCTGATATACTAGAAAGCTATTTTTGCAAGTTCTTCTGGGATATCTGCTCTCTGAACAATATTTTTTACTGCAGAAAAATAAATCATTGAAGTCTTCTATGCAGGGAAGAAATTGTGAAGTTCGAGATTTGGAACATCAAGATTCTGAGGTATATTTGTTTTGACATTTTTGTGGCATCATGACATTTTTGTAGTTGGTTGATGAAACTTTTAAATTTTTATAGCAGCATGATAGCACCCTGATATCTCAGCATAACAATAAACGCAAGGGTAAAAGAACTGCTCTTCCACAATCTCAGGATCTGCTATTGCAATCTCCATCAGCGGCTATTTTAGAAGTTTTAGAAGACCTCCATAGGGCAGAAGGACCATCAACGAGTAGTTCTGAACTAAACAGTCACAATAAGACCTTTATTCAGCCTATTGGCAATACAACGTAAGTACTTTTGAAGTATTGGTGTGTTAGTACTTTCGAAGTATTGTTTGTTTTTATTTGTTTCTAAATTTGTAATGCATTGCAGATTCGAACCTTGTAGTGTGCACACAGATATTATGCCTTGCGTTAAGCGGATATTCCCCGAGGCAGTTAAAACTTTTAAAACTGCTCCTCAACATCTTAAGGATGCTTGGTTTAATGAATTCAAGGTAAAGCATGCTACATTTGGCATAATATTTGAAAAAAGCGCTGCTAAAAGGCTTTTTTTTTTTTTTTTTTTTTTTTGTTATAGAAACGGCATGAATGGGATCCTAATGACGAGGATACTGTTCGAATGATATTTGAGAAAAGGGCTGCTAAATTGCTTGCTGACGCGTTAAGTGATGTGCGCACAAGATTGGCATTAGGAAGTGGAGTACCAGGATGGATATCTGATCATGTATTGGCACAATACCAGGTCATATGGAACAGTAACGAATTCAAGAAGACAAGTGAGAAGAATAAGCGTAATAGGAATTCAGATTGTGGAGGATTAGGTCCATCGTTACACACGGCAGGTTCTATCCCTATCACCGAACATAGAAGAAGACTGGTAAGTTGTATACAATCAATTGATACCACATTCAAATAAAATTTATACTAAGTATTATTTCTACTGTCATTGAGTAGAAAGAAAAGCTTGGAAAGGAACCTACTCATATAGAACTATTCAATGCTACGCACCAACATAAACAGGGAGGAGGATATGTATGCCAAAAAGCACAGCAAGTAATTGTAAGATTTCCTACTCATACAGAACTATTCAATGTTACTTTTGTTCAATCACTGAAGAGATTATCAGTAGTAGTATAAAGCTCTTGTTAGTTCTGGCTGTATTACCAGAATAACAATATGTGGATGCTATGCAATTCCAAATAGTAGTTTTATGAATTAATATTAAAGTGAGAATGTTAGCATTATTAGTCTGTAGTCTGGCTGTATTAATATTCCAATGCTATGCAATTCCAGATTTTTTCCCCCACAAATAGCTGCCTTAATAGTCTGGCTGTATTTTTTTATTATTTATTTATTTATTTATTTATTTATTTTTTTTTTTTTCAGGAAACTGTGACTCACTTGAAGCAAACACAACCTGAAGTGGCAGAAGCAGAAGTGTGGTTGGAGGCCACTGGTGGCGTGAGGAAAATGGGGTACGTTTCAGGATTTGGGTCGGATACTCAACACTACTTTCCAGAGGCTACGATACAACGGAAATTAAAGATTGGACCATCAACTTCACATGTATCTTGCGAAGCTCGAATTAAGGAATTAGAGGATCAGAATCGAGCGCTGCAACAGCAGCACCAGGATATGGAAGAGCAACACCGTAGTATCCGCGAGACCGTCCAGAAAATGGAAGCAGCATTTGCCCACCTCAGTCAGTTTAGTGTTAATCTTAGTAATCATGGTCCTAACTTGGATGGTATGCGCAGTAATTCCGACCAATTACCGACCACCAGTGGTAACCAATTACTGACCACAAGTGGTAACCAATTACCGACCACCCGTGGTAGGAAATACGCTCTCCGTATCCGACCCCCAATAGTTCCGACGTCTTCAAAAAGAAGTCGGTATTTCCGACCATCTTGACTAGTGGTCGGTAATACGAGGGCCTTTTTTCCGAATCCATAAAGTAGTCGGTAAGTTGGTCGGAAATTGTGTTTCTGATCGGAAATCTCCTTTTTCCGATAACTTTTTGGTGGTCAGAAAAATGAATATTTCCGGCAGGGTCTTTCATCTATGTTTGAAAAAAAAAAATGCTATTTTAGTATGTCTTTCATCTATGTTTGAAAAAAAAATGCTATTTTAGTATGTCTTTCATCTATGTTTGAAAAAAATGCTATTTTAGTATGTCTTTCATCTATGTTTTATTAGTCCGTTTGTAGTCTCTGTTTTAAGATACACGTTTACCATTACAATAAAATTGCGATGTTAATCCCCATAACAAATTATCCATAAACCTTCGTTATAATTTTTAATTAAATATAAGAAAGACATGTTTGAATCTATTTGCAACAGCATTTAATGATCATAATATATCATAAATCATAAATCAATTTATAGGAGTATTCGACTTTGCTTAACTATGCTTAATAAATCAATTAAATAAAAATTAAATGCAGACGTTATGCCATGGAACTGTGTTCACCATTCATGGTGAACACGGTTCCAACGGTGTTAGTACACCGTTATCTTTTTCTTTTTTCTTAATTAATTGCGTGACTTTTATTCTTTATTTTCACATTTTGCGGTTTCACTTTAATTTGAGGTGAACAAAGATTTCGGACATTCATAAATTATGAATTCATGCTTGCACATTCACTTTGGAACCATGCCTACACATTCCTGTCCGAAATCACGGACATTCATAAATTACGAATCCTGTCTGCACATTCACTTTGGAACCATGCCTACACATTCACTTTGGAACCATGAGATTATGAATTTTCTGTTATAAGATTATGAATTTTCTGTTATGAGATTATGAACTTTCAGTTATGAGATTATGAATTTTCTGTTATGCGATTATGAATTTTCTGTTATGAGATTATGAATTTTCATTACATTCATAATTTCGGACATTCATAAATTATGAATTCATGCCTGCACATTCACTTTGGAACCATGCCTACATATTCCCGTCCGAAATCACGGACATTCATAAATTATGAATCCATGCCTGCACATTCACTTTGGAACCATGAGATTATGAATTTTCTGTTATAAGATTATGAATTTTCTGTTATGAGATTATGAATTTTCAGTTGTGAGATTATGAATTTTCTGTTATGCGATTATAAATTTTCTGTTATGAGATTATGAATTTTCATAAAATTCATAATCTCATAACAGAAAATTCATAATTTGATCAAACGCGCGCCGTTAACTCCACATCCGCGATTTTTATTTTTTATTTTTTGCCTAAAAACGACGTCGTTTTGCCTTGTGTTCACCATTCTCGGTGAACACGATTTCATGGCATAATTTGCGAATTAAATGAGGGTGGTCTTAGCTAAGGGTATCAATGCGTGCTGGTCCACTTAGTGTGGGCTGACCAATAAAGCTTGCGGATTATAATTCTTCAACCCTAAACTGCCTCATGCAGCCTAGAGGGCCTCGCAGCAATCATTATTTTGTGGACTATGATCCACAGAAGTTGTGTGAATCATATTTTGTATATTGTAAAATAATGTACATTTAGTAAAAAAAATAATGTACATTCAGTACAAAAATAATGTATATTGTATTTAGGGAATGTACATTATTTGTGTAATGAGTGTACATTATATTGTAAAATGTACATTCAGTACAAAAATAATGTACATTCACTATATTAAAAATGTACTTTTTGCTATGGTTCACTGTCCACATAACACTGTGTGGATCATAATTTGCCGCCTCACAAGCCATCTTCAAAAATTTTAAAAATTTATTATAATATTATTATATATTGATATTGATTATATTCTAATAACTTTAAATAATATTAGATTTGTTTATGTTTAGAAATTATACAATTTTAATTATTTATTTATATATATATATATATATATATATATATATATATATATATATATATAATATTGTTGGCCTGCGTAGTCCGTCAAGCTTGTTAGGCCCGTATTTTCATGTGTCAAAATTTTTAAATCCAAACCCACTCCACCGCGGGACAATCGTTATGCGTTGGACCCGTGTCCAGCATGCTTGCTGGACACGGGTAACAGTGCCGTTAGGCACTGTTATCTCTCTCTCTCTCTCTTTTTTTTTTTTTTTTTTTAATTTCAGACCGCTTCGTTATAGGAGTATATGTTCATAATTTTATTACTATATGTTAATAACTGTACATTCATAACTCCATAACTGTACGTTCATAACACTATAACTGTACATTCATAACTCCATAACTGTACATTCGTAACTCCATAACTGTACATTCATAACTCCATAATTGTACATTCATAATTTTCGAAGCTCTATGTTCACAATTTTAGAGCTCTATGTTCATAATTGTAAGTTCATAATGTTAGAGCTCTTTGTTCATAATTCGATCAATAACTGTACATTCATAATTTCATAACTGTAGATTCATAATCTCATAACTGTAGATTCATAACTCTATAACTGTACATTCATAATCTTCGAAGCTCTATATTCACAATTTTAAAGCTCCATTGTCATAATTTTATCACTATATATGTTCATAATTGTAAGTTCATAATGTTAGAGCTCTGTGTTCATAATTTCATAATTGTATAACTGTACATTCATAACGGCATAACTGTACATTCGTAACTGCATAACTGTACATTCATAATAAAAAAAAAAATAACGCCGTTAACGGCAAAACGCGCGCGATTTTTTTTTTTTTTTTTTTTTTTTTTTAACTAAATGACGCGTTTTTTTTAAAAAACGACGTCGTTTTGGGCCCGTGTCCACAATTCAGTGTGGACACGGGTCCAGGGCATAATTTGCCACCGCGGGACGACTTAAAGTTGACCCACAAATTTCGACCCACTTTTGACCAATCATTATTGTGTGGACCATGGTCCACACAAGTTGTATGTACCATATTTTGTATATTATAAAATAATGTACATTCAATACAAAAATAATGTACATTTAATATAAAAATAATGTACATTGTACTCAGTAGATGTACATTATATTATATAATGTACATTTAGTATATTAAAAATGTACTTTTTGTTATGGTCTACATAACATTGTGTGGATAATTTACGACTTTTGACACCCCTAATCTTATTAAAAACAAGGTGATTATTGTTTTTATCACCTCAAATGAATTACTTTTAAGTTCAATTCAAACCACCATAAACCCTTATTCAACTCCCTACTGAGAGAGATATAACCTTTTTTGTACCCTAATTTCATTTGTATTACTTGATCAAGATTTACTCCGTCGTTGCCTCACTTTTCTCTTGTTTGTAAATTATATATATATATATATATATATATATATATATATATATATATGGATGGTAGGGTTCTAGTGAGAACATGTGCTTAGGTGAGAACGTGAGAACACATCATGTGCATCCATCTAATATTTTTTAATGGTCTAAATTAGATTAAGTGTGTGCGAACGCGCATTAAATATGTGCAAACGCGATTTAGTGTCTTTGCACACATTTAATGCGCGTTCGCACACACTTAATATAATCTAGACCACTAAAAATATTAGATGGATGCACATGATGTGTTCTCACGTTTTCACCTAAACACATGTTCTCATATGATCCTAACTTTATATATATATATATATATATATATATATATATATATATATATATATATATATATGGAGGGAAGGGATCAGGTGCATTTGAGGCTTCCCGTGCGGTTGTGCGGTTGGAAGCACAGAGACTCCGAAACTTGTCTGTGTTTAAGAATGAGTAAACAGTGGCTAAAAACAAACAAAACAGTAAAGGTTAAGTTAGATTATCTGCACAACTTCACTTGCGTACAAAGAAATGTGGTTAAGAATGAGTAAACTGTGGCTAAGAAGAAACAAAACAGTGAGAGGTTAAAGTACACACTCATGCATATTAAGCACACAACTCACGCACATTAAACACATAACTCACCACTTTAAGTACAAAATTCACGCACATTAAGCACTACACACACATACATTAAGTACAAAACACACGCACCTTAAGCATAAGACTCACGCACATTAAGCATAAAACTCACGCACATTAAGGTTGTGTTGTTATTGAGCGATGCCCAATTCCTAACTCAAGTCCTACAAATGATAATACATCAGGTTGTTGTAGGCTCAAGCAAGCAACCAACAAGATTGAAATTCCTAACTCAAGTCCTTCAAATGATAATACATCAGGTTGTTGCAGGCTCAAGCAAGCAACAAACAAGATTGAATATGTCTCTGCATAGCATCAGAAAATAAAACACAACAAACTAAAGAACAAAAAAAACTCGAAACGCAAGGTGAAGAAAGAAGTACATACCCAGTAATTCAAGTGAGAAGAAAGAGAAGGGAGATTCCATGGCTGGATCGGACTTTGTGTGAAAGTTGGTGAAAATCATTAACATTACATACTCACACACATTAAGTACAAATCTCAGGCACATTAAGCACAAGACTCACGCACATTGAGTACAAAACTCACGCACATTAATCATAAAACCACTCACCTTAATTTTGACCTAGATGCAAAAATTACAAAATTGCCACCGCATTTTTTTTTTTTTTTTTTTTTTTTTTTTTTTTTTTTTAATTTTGGTAATCTTGGACGTTGATTTAAGCGAGATGAATGGCTCAGATTAAACCGCATAACCGCACCTGAGGTGTTCACCCGCACGAGAACCGATTTCTATATATATATATATATATATATATATATATATATATATATATATATATATATATATATATATACATAATAGTATTTTTTATGCGCGATGCGCAAAAAATAGGTGCCCAATATTAATACATTATATTAAAATTTTAAATTTATTTAGATTTTAGATATTTAAATTATTCTAAATTATAATAATAATAATAATAATAATAATAATAATAATGAACTGTGAAATTACATATATACCCTCAAAGATCACGGTCAACAAACTGTCAAATAGACGGAGGATTAAATTGTGTTAAAATTGCAAAGTTAAGAACTTAGTTGGTTGAAATTAAAAATCGAGAACCAATTTATAAATTTAACTATAGTCAAAGGACCATTTTGAGTATTTACTCTTTAAACATGTTTAACCAACTTGTTTTGTCTGACACATGTTCCACTAATATTGCAATTGCTGTATATGTCAGCTATTGTAAATTAAAATCTCCTCAGTTGTTTACTGTTCTGACCATATTGTTACTGTAAATTAGTATACCTTTAC